ATGTCTGCATAGGTGCACATTAAAAACGGTTAAGCCAATAGTCAGGTCGGGCGAAGGCAAGACCAAATAATATGAGAGAATGCATGAGTTAGAAAATAAAAGTCACCTCCATAGCAGATTGGGGAAAGCGGCTGAACACATCCTTCTGGGAAAGGCCCTTTGCCGCCTCAAGGTCCTTCGGAGTCCACATGCTCCTGTAGTAGGCCATAGCGGTCTGGCCATCCTTCAGCATGGTCTCGTTCGGTTTCACGAACGTCCCATCCGTTCGGGTGTACCGAGGGGCCCATGGCGGTAAGGTGGGGATAGAAGAGGGGCCTGAAGCAGAAGCAGAGCCACCAGCTGCAGCAGGCCCAGAGGGAGCAGGAGCTCTGACCGCTCGGTGCAAGAGAGCACCCGGCCCGGAGACCCGGGTCCTTCTAATGAGAGGCTCCTCCTCAGGATCGACTTCACTATCAGGATGAGGCCTTTTGCCTCGTTCTTTGTCCCGACCGCCCCCCGCAGCAGCAGGAGCTATGGTAGCTGGGGGGGACGCGTTCTGGTTGGCAGCAGGGGCGCTGGCAACAGGGTTAATAGCCACTGCGCTCGGGACAGTGTCAGATATGGTGGCTGAGGAAGAAGCTGACGCTGGAGAGGAAGTCGCCCCAGCAGCAGGAGTGGCTGGGGGAGTATTTTTCTTCCTGCCAAAAGAAGGAATCTGAAGTCTGCTCATGTTGTAGCCGAGTGATGAGAGCGCTAAGAGGTTGTCTGAAGTGAGGAGATCTGAGCAGGAAGGAATATCGTTCAGAACGTATTTCTTCAAGTAGTTACTCCTATCCCTACAAACACTATAGCTCAAGTCATCACAAGGTATTCCCAAGGAACGGCATAAGAAAGTGCAAAAACGAGGAACGCATGTTTCGCAGGGGCAGTCATGTTTATGAGATTTGAATTTCTTATAGGAGGAGACAGAACAGACACCAAAGGCGCTCGGGATTGGGTAATCCTCTGCAGCCGGCGAAGACCAAGCCCCACTAATGCCCACTATGCTATCCCTCCAACCCTTCTCAGATTTTATTGTGTCCGTACATATGGACATCTTCTCGAACGGGTAGAGGTGGTAGAAGGGTTCGTTAGTACGGATCTTACTGACCTTATAGCACAGAAGGAGGTCTATGAGGTCGAGGTCCAGATTTCTGTCACGCATCAACAAGAGCATAACAGATATGATTCTAAAGAAGTTGAGGTTGACCTGCAGAGGGGATATCCCCAATCTATTGAAGACATAACTAAAGAAAGGGTGCAGAGGGAACCTAACAACATTCAATTGAAGGTTCGTGAATAAGACTTCACCGGGCAGGAGGCCGGCGCCGGTCATAATGTTAACATCCTAGGGGCAAACCCTAACTTCGATGTTGTCAGGAAGTCTAAGTCTCATACGAAGAACATCCAGATCTACAACCATGGTGGAAGTGCTAGAAGAATCTAAAAGGGGTAAATGGAAGCCTGCCGAAAGTAAAAAGAACGAAACTAACCTCGGAGGACTGCAAGATCGCTGGAAGAATGACTCTTGAAGGATTTCACCAGAAAAAGCTTAGCACTGTTCTAGAAAGAGAGAGACTTGGCTGATGATGGAGACGGTAAAGGGAAGTGAAGTGGAATTCTAGAGCATTATAAAGGCGAGGGGGCCCGAGGGCCGAAGCGTCGGGAAGGCGAGAAATTCCTCGAGCCCCGGAACATTGATTCTGGATCTGACCGTCCGCTCCCCCACGTGGTTATCTCGAGCCGTCAACATCATGATGAGACGCCATCAATAATTACCCCTTATTAAATAGGGGGCAATTATGGGGGCAGTTGAGGAGGCCCCGGACTACATGGGCCAGATCCGACTCGCAAACACAACATTCAGTTCGTACAGCTGGGTCGGCCCATATAAAGACACTGCCATATGGGCCGAACGGGAGTAAGCCCATCAAAGGTGACCAGGGCTTATGGAGGAATAGGCCCAGATCCAGCAATCAGTAAATATCTTGTAAATATCTTGTAAATATCTATAAATAGGATATGGAATGGAAAGGAGAGGGATCTTTTTGGTTGAGGTGTAAGAATTCTAGAGAGAGAAAGAGGAGAAGGAATTTCTTGCATCTTCAATTTTTTTTAAAAATAATTATATATATATATATATTTATTTAAAAAAAAAAAAACTTTCATTTTTCTTCTATAAATACATCAACCCCTACTATTATTCACCTCATATTTAACCCATCTTCTCTAATCTTCAACCTACAATTACAACCATTAAGTCATTTTTTCAATCTTAAAGAAAAGACCAGACAACTCGAGCTTCAAAGCAAACTAAGAGAGATTGAAAACAAACAAAGAGCTGAAGAGATATTAATTATGCAAAAAGATCCAGAATCGATGCCAATACAAGCCGGGAAAGCGTGGCTAATTGAACGCCAAAATGAAATATTAGCATCTATACGCACACGCGGTTACTCAAGCTTTCCATAGGATTATCTCAAGCATTCCATATGATTGTTCAGTTTTTCCTAATTGTTATGTTTTTAATTCATGTCGTATTGTATTTTTTTTTTTATTGTATTATTTAAATTTATGCTTTATCGTATTGCTTTTAATAATAAATGTTGTATTGTTTAAATTTTTGTATGATATAGCCATTTTAAAAATATAGCAATTAGGAAAAAGTTAAAAACTAAAATTTATTAAAAAATTAAAAAATATTAAAATATTAATATTTTTGGAGAACGAAAATGCACCATTGAAGTATATCCGATAGCTAAAATTTAAAGACTCTAAAAAGGTGACGTGGCTATAAGAAATGCTATGCTGATGTGGTAAATTCGAAGAGCCTAAATTCGAAGAGCTCATTGAAGATGTTCTTATATAGAGGCCAAGGATCTTGCAATGAATTGTATAGATGTCAACGTTATAAAGGTCGGGAGTATTGTAGAATGAAATTCTAAAATGCTGCAGAGAATGATCTCTGTTGTACTAAATACAATATATAATTTTGTTAATACAAAGATACTTATAGGGTTTTACACACACATAGATATAAATTAAATTTGTGATGGATTCATCGTAATCAGGCACGAACCCAACATAGGATTAGTGGGAGTAGAAGTCCCCATTGAATTTTTTATATTTTCATTTTATGCCTTAATTTTCTTAGAATTTATGAAAATGCCTCCACTAAAATTACAATTTACCCTTACTGAATTCTTTTTTTGCATTTTATATTTCAAATTTTTAAGAATTTATGAAGATGCCCAACTAAAATTACAATTCGCCCTCACTAAATTTTTTTTTTTTGGTTGCATTTTATACTTTAAATTTTTAAAAATTTATGAAGAAAACCTTATTGATATTATAAAAATGGACCAACTATATAAATTTGCCCCCACAAATTAAAAGGCTGCCCCCTCACAAAAATTTTAAATTTTAATGTTCTTCTTTACCCTTTTCCCAGTAACATAACAAAATAATTATGTTTAGCCTCTCGTCTCTGTCATCATTTTCTATGTAATCCATTCTTTAATACAAAAGAATTCTGTTGTGAACCCTCTTCAGATTTTTATTTTTATTTTTACTTTATTTTTATTTTTTCTTTTTTCTTTTCTCTGCTCTGCATGCTTTGTTTTTTATCCTTCTTTTCACTGACGATGCAAAGTCTGCTGCATCTCTGCAATGTCATATTATGTTTTCTAATGTTCCATGCAGCGCGTATTAGTACACCTTTACCCTTCAATAACTATGGTTATTCTTTATTATTTATAGTTTGCTTGAATTGAAATTTAGATAAAATTTTAGTTTTTGGTTTTTTTTTTGATAAATTGGTAAATTTTAGAAATCGTTTTTAAAATGTTGAATTATGTTAATTCCACAATAATTAACACTGCGTTCAATTATGAATGTTTTTCATTTGTACTTTGTAGTTTGTACTAGCCGAACGAAAGGGAAAACATGAAGCATTTTGAACAAATGGAATCAGCATTGAAGACCTTAACAAATACCTTGTTATATAATAGCTTGTGTGAAAACTACAAGTTGATTTCTATTTTCATATTATGTGGTACAAAAACTCATTATTTTCACTTTACCAATATATATATTTCTCCACTACATGCATCTTTAATCAGAATTCCACTGCAAAATCTTGCAACACTGCGAAATTTTTTTAGTCTCCGAGAAAAACTTCCTTACACCTTTTGATACTTTATTATCTGTGCAATCAACCAATTATTTCATGTCACATAAGTAAAAGTGTTTTATTTTAGTGAGTCATATCATTACATGACAGTATTTAATAAGCTGATGGTACCATGTTATCATTACAACCAGCTCAATTTAGTTTTTCGCGCTGTCTCAAAACAGACTTGGCCGAATTGACTTCATTTGTCTGGGCTAGAGCAGCCTCCGCTCCTGCTGCTTCCGGTTCCATTTCTGGAACGGCCTCCATCCCAGGATTCTCATTCACAAACTCCCAGAGCTAATCATTCTTATTCTATGCTAAAAGACTCCAACCCAATTAGTTTGTCTCAATTATTTTTGGTTGGAAGAGCTCACCAAAAGGAATAGTACAATCTATCTGGCATTCAACCTTTTCCGCATCAAAATTTCCAGAATTCAGATCTCTATCCTTCCTACCCAAAAGGAGTAAGCAAGGCTTCTTGAAGACTCCGGGTCATTTCTTTATTTAATCAAGATAGTTTGAACGTCCGTTAAAATAAATTTTCTCCAACTACAAATTCAAAGAATCGGTGCTCCCAAAGGCAACATCTGTAATTTTTAATTTGATTGGTATATACGGTTGGTTGCATTGGCTATACTTTAACTTTTTATTCTTTTGGGATAATTAATTTATTGGCTTGGGGTGTATAGCTGCTCTATAGAATTAGAAAAAGTGAAGGTGGCAATGTAGGTAGGGTATTGTTCCACACCTGTGTAGAAGCTTGTGAAGTCAGGATAACATGCTGAGTTATGGGTGCACAAAGTCAACATACATTCAATTCCCTTCTCCTTTGATTTTGAATTAGGCACTTCTATCATCTCTCTAATTTACACTCACCTGAAACAAAGTTCAATAAAAACATAAAAACAAAAACTTCAAAACTCAATTACAACAAATCCAGATGAATTTTACCAAAAAAAAAAAAAAAGAAAAAAATAATACACAACTTTGCGGATGGCTGCACAACCTATCCAAGAATACAAAGAAGGGAAAAGGAAACCTGGTAAAAGAATCACAATCATCTCATATCCCAAGTATATGTTGGTCAGAGTCATTAAAAATCTCTTTCTCCTTTGTCCCGTGTAATCCCGAGTTTGCCTCCATTTTTGGGCAATCCAATGGGTTATTCAGTTGGCTTCTTCGTCAATGACTTTTTTGACCTTCTGGTTCTTCCAAAGCTCTCGACGGTTGACCCCTCCCCTGGCCACTGCTTAATGACACAGTGGCTCTAGGCACTTGTGAACTGGTTATAGGCTTTTGTAGTGGCTTCAGAGCTGCCATGATCTCAGCAAATGAAGGCCGCAATTTTGGATCTCTACAGGTTATATTGATGTAATGTTAAAAGTCTGTCTGATTGTTAGCCTAACTGCACTGCTATAATCACATTCAACATCCCCATTATGCATTACATACACAAGCATAGACATTGCAAACTCATGCTCCCATGATATACATAATTAGATAATAGTGTAGTCCCTTTTTATGCATGCCGGGGAGGGGGTGGGGCAAGGATTGCAAATCATAGAGAAGAAAGGTTAATACTGAGGAAAGTGGTGCATTCCCAAAAGAAGAATTTGAGGAAATGTGCTTCTAATAACAATACTATTGCATATATTGTAAAACCAAACTGAAAAAAAAAATTAAAAAATAAAAAAAAATGAAGAAGAAGAAGAACAACAATATGGCATGGGCATAGCAAACATTACCATACTATCATCTACATATGTCAGGATCCATGCCACCTAACTTGCTTGAGAGGAATGTCAGTTGAGCCACTCAGACTATCAACTTGACCTTATAGATGGCTCCATCTTGAACCAGTTTAAGCCTTTGAAACTAATGCACATTTATCAGGACTTGGACTAAGTCAAGCCGGTTTCAACAAAGCTAGTATAATTGTATAACAGAGGTTAAAAATGAAATAACATGTGGTCAACTATTTATATGCGTAAGGTTTGAATTATGAACATTCGAAGCCACAATCAAACTGCAATGGAGGATACCAAAAGAGACATAAGATCGCCCAAAATTGGGTTCACAAGGTTTATCCTTGAAGGAGTTGCTGAATAGCAAGCACCTCACAATTCAAGTTTTGCAGACTTTGGAGTCGGAAGTGTGATCTTGGTTCTAAAGTTAGCCTTTTGGAATTGGAGCTCAGATACAAAGCAACCCTCCTCATAGTGAAGAATCCAGATGCTTTCAGATTATTGTGAAAACTAGCTTTCCCATTCTGAAAAGAGAAACCCATGATCTAATTTTCCCCAAACTCTCTGAAATATCTAAGATTGTGATCAAAGGAAAGGAAACTATTTATCGGATAAAAAGATACCAGCTCTAGTTGGGAGCAAAAAAGTCAGTTAACATAACAGGCATCAGATATTGTCAATCACTGTAATATAAACAGCAGCGGAATTTCACCATGCATTCTTCAAATAAATGGAATGGATAGGGCTGCAAATGAACCAACCTGAGAATCATACTATTTGAGCTTGGCTCAGTCATTCAAGGTAAGTGTTCATAATGAGCTCAGGATAGGAGTTCAGACTCAGATTGTCAAAAAATGGTCAGTTTGGGCTCTGCTAGACTCAAATACATGATCAATGTAATGAATCTTATTGTTGTCTCTCAATCACGCACACAGAAAAAAAAAAAATCTCTCTCTCACAATTCAAACATGAAATGTCTCCTTCTTTCTTTTTTATGAGGGGGTGGTTAGTTGAACTAGTCTGTTTTCAAAAGTGAAACGCCTCCACATTCGGCTCGGGCTACTGGACAAGCCCGAGCCAAATTCAATAGAAAGACAAGCCAGAATCATTCATAAGAAACTCAGCTCATTTGCAGCCCCAAAATTGAAGGCAAAAATGTAGTGTATACTCACGTTTGCCAGCATTTCATAATAATATCTGCAATAGAAGGATGCATATCATCTGGAATGTCAAGACGGCGGTGCTGAAATCCGACAGCACCAACAACTTGCATTGGGTTCATTCCTCCCCATGGCTGTTGCAAAGTACAAAGCTCCCATAATATGACTCCAAAACTAAAGACATCACACCTGCATTTGGACCAAATATCATCCAAATTCAATGAAAATCAAGAACAAATTTTCAAATTTATTGCCCAATATGCTAAAAAGCAAATAACATACTTTTCGTTTGAAGGTTCATTTCTTAGCACTTCTGGAGCCATCCACTCTGCCTGAAGAAGAGAAAAACACCATGGCATTAATAAAGATGTCTTGTGTAACGGTTGCTGTTAAAGAGGCATCGGTCCAATAAAATGTGTATCGAATGACAATGAAATCAATTGCAAACAACAATAACCACACAACCACAGAAGGTGACCGCACCAATTATGAGTAGAATTGCAACAAAATATCTCATCTGCTTCAGATCTCCTATTTTTTCAAAGTTCTTTCTTTTAATTCCTACATGGGTAATAAACTGCAAATTCTACAGCAATTGCACCAAAAGCTTCGGTTCATTTTGTGATGCATCTTAATGTGACAGTCCTTTCCTCACGATGGATATGGTCATATAATAGATCTCTGAAGCCTCTTGACATGGCAACCCCTGAGAAGATGATGAGGAAACTGATTAACATGTAGTACTTATAGCCCTATCAGGAGTCTTTTCTAAGAATATTACCATATTTTCTAACTTGTTAATGTTTTCTAAATTTTAGGAATTAGATCTGCCTTGTGTTGTACTATATTAGATTATGTTATTAGGGGTTTTTTCAAAGCCTATAAGTAGACCTCTCAAGAAAAAACAAATGCTTATATGGATCAAAAACAGTGACAGTTTCATAAAGCCCTCTCTGCTCTCTTTTTCTAGTTCTATTTTTCTCCTATTATATCTGAGCAGCTTGGAAGTTGCTTTTGTATCTATCCTCTCTTATGGCCTCTTTTTCTTTCTGTCCCTCCTCTGATCTTGTGATCAAGAGGCTTGGAAGATGCATCGCCCCCTTCTCTAAATCCTCAGCTCTCTCTTTCTCCTCTGTTTCTATCACACAATATTACATAGTTTAATCACTCACATGTTCAAAAAAATTATTGAGCTTCTTTTCAGAACATTGTCATATTTTCTTAGTCTGGATGCTTTTACAGTTTTTCGGAATAGAATTCAGGTCTTATCTTGTTACAGTATAGGCTAATTTTTAGAAGATAGGTTTGACTGGGGTTTGGTAAGGCCCCTGGGTGGAAAATGTTAACTTTGAGATAGATATAATAGTGACTGTTAACTCCCACAAGGGAACTGAGTTGCCATAAGGACTTTGGGCATGCCCTAGGAGTCTTGCATTCAAACTGCTAGGGGCGCCAAGCCTTCCACACGTTCAAAGAAATTATTAAGAGAGCAAAGTTACATCTCTCTGGCATGCGAATATACGATCTTAATGAATTTTGCTGCACTATCCCCACATTGTAGCATCATACTATATTTCCTCTAAACTGCCTTGAAATATATTTGTCTTACTAGCAAGCTTTAATATTTGCCCATTTCAATGTGTGTGTGTGTACATACATAAACTGAGTTACTTTCTGCCTTTCATGAAAAATGGAACATGCAATTTACCAGTCATTAGATGACTACCATCATCATCATCATCATCATCCTTGCCTTAATCCCCTTTTTTTTTCTTTTTTCTTTTTTTTTTTTGATAAGTCTTGCCTTAATCCCATATGAATGCAGTCGGCCACATTAATTCTCTTTTTCCATTATTTTCTATTACAAGTCATCTCTCCTATAATATTTAACTTTTTTAAACCATTTATAACTCCATCAAATGTTAATTTCGGTTGCCCTCAGTGTGTCTTACCCTCTATAAAATTACACTTCCACTTATTACAGGTGCAATGAGATCAATATGTTTTACCCACGGACCAAATGATCTCCCAACTTTGCAAGTGACCTTAATGGACAACTGGAAACCAAGAATATATCCCAAATATTATGTATTGTATGAATTTTGGCAGTAAAAATGAGCGAAGATAAATGCTCCTGCATTTTTTATCTGGAATCATTTGGAACATTGAACAATTTACCATTTTATGAATAATCCAAATATCTTCACCCATCTCTTCAACTATCACACTTCTTTAAACCAATTCACCCCTCCTTCGACCCTCAACTAATGGGAACCAACACCAAGTAGCAGCTTTCTTATCTTTTCTTACTAAATCTTTTCATGAGCATTGAGCAATGGATAACCAGTAACGAACACGGAGATGCATGGGCTGATCATCTCCTTCTTTCGCATGTACTTCAAGTCCCTTTTAGTTCAACTATTTGCTCCCAGAATAATCATAAAGTGTCTTGCAACTCTTGTAGCAAAGTTAGTTTTTATGTATATTAAGAATAGTTATTTCATGAATTCCAATCTCAATTCTAAAGAGAAGGCAAAAAGACTACGCAACTCAGACACCAGTTCCAACTGAATTTCCCTATAGATGGGAAAATACATCATAAACATGGAGGTATCTTATAACCATAGATCACAGCAACCACCTTTTTGAAGGAGAAACTTGGCAACTAAAGCATCATCAAAGTCCTGGGTACTAGAACCAACAGCACTGAGGTATCTTCTACAAAATGGCTGATAAATAAAATAGCATAACCAAAGATCAGCCAATTTCCAGTATTGCAGAAGTACTGTAGGCCATCAGGAAAGTCTCCAGTAAGATATACACAATAAAATAACCAAAACATAAAAAGGCAAAACAAAATGCAAGCAAAGATGAATTAATATGCAGCAGAGTAGCATGTTATGTTCCATCAAAAGGATGCAATGTCTAGCAAGAGATAAGAAACCATATAAATACTGGTATGAACAACATATAAACAAATAAGACAAAGTAAAATAAATTTCTTTAATGGCTGCCAAAGAAGGACAAAAGCTGAGGTACAAATTGGTAAGTACAGCTTACCGTCCCTGCAGTAGACCTTGAAGAAAGAAATGTGCTGTGTTTCATCCGTGATAAGCCAAAATCGCAGACCTGAAAGACGGGCAGAAAAATCTTTAGTTTGGGAACTATATAATATGTTATTCAAGATTCTCAACTCAAGATAAGAACTTGACCTTCACAACCCAATTCTTATCAACAAGAAGATTTGGAGACTTCAAATCACGGTGAACTATTACTGGTGTGCAGTTGTGCAAATAATTCATTCCCCGAGCCTGAAAGTTCAGTTATTTAAGCAAAAACATTATTCCCGGTGAGTCAACAAGTTAACCAGAAGCTTTGCCAATAGACATTGAAATCAAGGTAAGAGAAATGAGAGAATACAGCATCAAGCGCCATCCGCAATCTCCTCCGCTCATCTAATTGATTGTTAGGCCGGTGAATTAACCTATACAAACTACCTCTGCAGAAAGATAATGATAATAATAAGCTTCAAAATTCCAAGTTGACCATCTTTTATATTAAGTAAATTAACATGAACAACGATTCGCTGAGGAACTGGATTACTCTAACAAAAACATACAGATTTAAAAGAATTCTTTAACAACCATGGCCACCCATGAAATGAGATAAGCTCAATAATCAATGGTACAGAACAATAGTAGCCCAAAACAGTATGGCATTGACCAAGTAAAGGATTAACTGTTCCCTAAATGAGTAATCAATAAAGCCTTTGGATGAAGAAGTCGGTATAGCAAATTTGAGGATAGTTCCATTGATGTGTTAGAAAATTGTGCTTGGATAAACTTTGGTTCAGAATAATTGGCTGTGATACCGAAACCAAAGGAATAACCCTCCACAATTATATATAGATATATTGATACTTGATAGGCAGAATACACGCACCCGCTGTTGCCCCAACTGGAACTTGAACCTTAAACCTACCATATGGGAAGAGGAGGGCATACCACTTGAGCCAGAGCCTTGGTGGTAAAATAAAAAGATAATGCTTGTGTGATAATTGTGCATTCTGATAAAATGTAATCTAACAAGAGGTAGAACCATTTGTCAACTTTGCAAATGTTCGTAGAGTAGAGGTACTTGGGATTAAAAACTGCAAGAAGTAACCTGAATGTATGGGGGCATTTTAGATTCCTTTTAATCATATTTGAGATCCTGAGTATCATATCATAAAGGCGATGGTACTTGACAATGTCTTTAAACGTTATGACATAGTTCAGAGCATTTTTCTCCCGAAAATCATATTTATGATGTAAACAAATATATAAATAAAAAACTTGTAGTTTCAGCATACCTAGGAAGAAATTCGGTAACAATTGAAAGATTTGGAGCACGAGTAATAGCTCCCAAGAAGAGAACAACATTGGGGTGCCTGATCCTTTTCATGATCCGAACCTAGCAAGCCAAAACACATCAGAATTATTGATGTCAATTGACAATCCATTACTTACTCATTTACAAATTTTAAAAAAAAAAAGTATCAATACATGAATCCACAAGATGGAGACGGGTGTAGCCTTGTAGGTGAATGAATTTGAGGTTGGGGAAAGGGGAGTAGAACAACACACAGCAGCTCTCAACGCATTTTAGGGTCTCAAATGCATCTCCTTGAATTATGTGTGTAGCTGGGGCTAAAAGGAAAGTTGTCTTTGACCTTATTATCATAGTACTGTTCATAAGATAATAAAAATAGCTAAAGACCCAAAAAGGACTGTATACCATTCAAATAGCCATTTTCATTTGAAACTGGCCAAAACTGTTGGAACTATCTAGAACTGTCTGAAATTTGAGCCATGACAAGATGGGGGAATCATCTATACCTCTCAACAGCCAAAACAATGTTCCAGCCAGATAACAGGATTAATTACGTTCACGCTAACTCATTCACTGAATGATTTCAATATTAAGACCAACATGGATAAATTGACTAAACTAGATTGAAGATAGTCAGAGAAATCTATGATGATGACCATAATGTGATGTATCAAAACAGCCGGGGGAAGAAAAAAAAAGTATCAAAACCTTCTTAGTTTATCATGATGAGTCGGTGCCACCTCATATGGCATCATCGAAAGGATACTTCCATACAGATCGCACAGTGGTAAAGGCATCATAATGATAATATATTTGATGCCATTTTCACCTCACAAAATCTACTCATGATTTGCTAAAGAGGCTTTTTAAGGAGTGTATGTCAGAGAAGAGACATATCGTACCTCGCTTTTGAATTCTTCGAGCCTTTCACCAGTTACAGCTTGGTCTAGGAACTTCTTAACAGCAACCTCCTGAAAGATTAAGAGTGGCAATAAGGTTTAAAATGTTTACCTTCGAAGATAATATGAGAGAAATAAGAAATAGCAACGAAGCAAACAAAAACACTAACAAGAAACTTTCATCACAAACAAATAAGAATAACATGCAATTAAATTATTTTGGGCATCAGTCCTGTACAAATATTCACTCAGGCTGGAACACCAACAACAAAAGTAAATTTTCCAAAACAAGCTACTTGTAGCAGTTTTTACCAAATAACTGAAAGAAACAATGAGCAAAGTCCTCGTCACTGGCCCAAACATTACGGAATTGTTAACTTTAAGAATATTCATAGACCTGAAATCATATTATTCATATCATAGCTACTGGGACTACCTACAGTGGACCAGAAACCCACAACCTAGGATGCCCTTTACCAAATTAATGGAAATTTGCTAGTAGCTTTAGAAAAAACCCAATACCATTGTGTGTTTCCCATAACCGACTAGAAACGTGATAAATTCCCATGTGAAGAGATTAAAACATCAGAAGATAGGTTTTGTGACATTTTCATGTCATCTAGATAAATAAATCTACAGTTTGGTTCCTTAAATGTTATCCCAACATGTCAAGTCCACTTTGACACAATTTCATTTTCTTGCTTCTCCAATTTTTTCCTTTTTTCCTGCCAAATAGAAAGGGAATTAATATCTTTTAAGTACTTGTCTCTTTATGACTTCGCATGTTTGCGTCCTGTTAAAAAACTTATATGTATATATGTATTTATGCTGGGGTCCTATTGTAATTAGATATAGGGTTTGTGGCCATTATGTAAATAGGCCTTTCTTGTATTGTATATAACTCCCTTTATGTTTTAGGATTAGAAATATATATATATCAAAAGTGTGAGCTGCGCCTCATACTCTGTCTGAGCTCTCTCGCTCTCTCTCTCTGTATCTCTATTCTCTTTCTATACAAATCTCTATTTCTACATGGTATCAGAGCTGATCGAAGTTTTGAGTGTGGGAAATTGCAGTTGTGTCGTTCTTGTATAGATCTATTCAGAGCTTGTGACAGTGGTGAAGTTGTTGCCGTTTTGGTTGTCGACGAGCTCACCGCCTTCTCTCTCCGTCGCTGCTCGTTGCTTGGTCTCAGATCTGAAGCCCAGTTTGGTTGCTCGTGTTGTTGCCGTTTTGGTTGTCAACGAACTCACCACCTTCTCTCGTCATTGCTGCTCATTATTTGGTCACTGATGGCTATCGCGAGTTGTGTCGCTGCTTATTGATTCCATCGCCGCCACCGCTGTCGCTGCCGCTGCGTGCTTGCTAGAGAACTGAGATTTTGTAAAGAAGAACGGTGTTTGGCTACAGGGTTCTCGTTATCCCAATCCAGGTTAACATAAACAGGATTTGTTCCGACCCGATTTAAGGTCCGGCCCGTTCGACCCGATTTACGGTCCGGGTCTGTTCTGCTCCGAGTCGTCTTCTGTTCCTGGTTCAACTCTGTTCTGGCCTTCTCGGGTGCAACAGTTTCTTTGGTTCTTCGGTACAGATTTGGCATCGGGGTGACTTTACCATAGCGCAGATAAGTTTTTTTTTACATATTCATATATCCATGTCAGAAGATTCAACTGTTGCTTCTGGGTCTACTGGAGTTAAATCTTCTGCAACACATGTTGATCCTGTCGGGCTGCAAATTACAACTATGAAATTAAGTAATTCTAATTACTTAAAATGGGCTCAAGCAGTAAAGATCTCTTTAGGTGCCCGACGAAAGCTGAAGTTTATTACAACTGATCCTCCATCAACAACATCAGCAACATATGAGGATTGAGAACTGATAACTATATGGTTATGTCCTGGTTGTGGAACAATATGGAACCTTCCATTGCATCCACTTTTATGTTTGTCAACACTGCAAAGGGAATCTGGGATGCAGTTTAAGAAACTTACTCTATGGACATGAATGTTTCTCGCATATATTCATTGTATGAAAAGATATTCCATTCTCGTCAATCTGACCTCTCTGGTTAAGGCCTCGGTGAGTATTACGGTACTTTCAAAAGCCTGTTAAATGAGTTGAATCAGTACCATCCCTTGACTACCAATCCTGAAGTTCTCACGTGACAACATAAGGAATTTTCTGTTTCCATTTTTCTTGCTGGTTTACACCCGAGCCTTCAGAATATTCGGCATCAGATCCTTGCTGGTGATGGAGGACTCCCATCTTTGGGCAACATTTATTCCCGCTTACTTCGGGTTTCAGAACAATCACATGTGACGCCCACTGGAGTGTGAGAAAATTCAGCTATGATGATTCCTTCTATTTTTCCACAGTCCTCAAAAGGTCGTGATACTCCTAGTGGCAACAGAGGGTATGGTGGAAATTCGGGTGATACTACTAGTGGCAATAGAGGGTATGGTGGAAATTCAGGTAGTTCTCGTGGCGGTAGTGGCCGTGATAGAAGTCACAGTCGCCGTGGTCGTGGACGTAGTGATACTCGCATCTGCAACCACTGTCGGGGTACTAATCATTCTGTTGAGAACTGTTGGACTCTTCATGGGAAACCAACATGGGCAAATCAAGCAGTGTCTTCCTTTGACCTTGCGGGGTCTCATCACTCTCTTGGTCAAACTTCTGTATTACCATCACCTGCATCTACTAGTGACACCGTGACACTATCATTATCACGAGTTGAGTTCAGTGCATTGGTCAACCGGACACATCCCAACTCTACTGATGTGGTTAATTTTGCGCAATCAGGTAATATTGCATGTGTATCCGATTTATAGACTTCAGCATCCCCTTGGGTTATTGACTCTGGGGCTTCTACCCATCTCACATGAGATGCCTCTCTATTTTCTAATTTTCAGAAGTCTAGTTCCTCATCTTTTGTTAATCTGGCTGATGGTAGAACATGTTCCATTATTGGCCAGGGAACAATTAAATTAATCCCATCCATTTCTTTATCCTTTGTGCAATTAGTTCTAAATTTTCCCTTTAATTTATTATCTATAAGTAAATTGACTTAAGTACTAAATTGTTTTGTCACATTTTATCCTTCGTTTTGTGTCTTTCAGGACCTCAACACGAAACAGACGATTGGTGGGGGCAGTAACAGAAATGGCCTATACTATTTGGATTGCAAACCTTCCACTGTTGCTTTACATTCCCAGATGTCTGTGTACTAGTGGCATTATCGGTTAGGTCATCCCTCGTTGCGGTATTTGAAGTTTGCTTTGCCTTTCCTTGAGTCGGTGTCTACTTTAAATTGTGAGTTTTGTTAGTTGGGTAAGCACCATAGAGTGCCTTTCCCTCTTCGTATCGTTAATCATCGATCTTCTTTATTTGAATTAGTGCATACGGACATTTGGGGTCCTGCTCGTCACACTAGTCACTCAGGTTTTTCTTATTTTGTTATCTTTGTTGATGATTATTCAAGGATGACTTGGTTGTTTTTAAGGAAAGACCGTTCTGAACTTTTTTTCCATATTTTAAATATTTTTAAAAGAAATTGAGGTCCAATTTGGGTGTGTTATACATACTTTACAATTTGATAATGCTATGGAATATGTCAAAGGTGCTATTTCTAGTTTTTGCGACTCTCGTGGTATTTTGCACCAAACTTCTTGTTCTTATACTACTCAACAAAATGGCATAGCCGAACGGAAAAATAGGCATTTAACTGAAATAGTTCGGACATTGATGATACATATGCATCTTCCAAAAGCATTTTGGGGCGACGCTGTTTTAACTGCTTGTTATTTAATTAATTGTATGCCATCTTCCGTTCTTAATTGCAAATGTCCTTATTCCTTTGTTTTTCCTACTCGACCGTTATTTGCATTGTCGACTCGTGTTTTTGGGTGTGTGTGTTTTGTTCACATATTACACCCTAGCACTAATAAATTATCTCCTCGTGCCATTAAGTGTGTCTTTATTGGATACTCTTGGACTCAAAAAGGTTATAAATGTTGGGATCCTAGCACTCGTAGTGCTTTTGTGTGCATGGACGTTACCTTTTTTGAGGATACTCCTTATTTTTCTTCACATAGTTCTTCTTTAGATACCGAACTGCTGCTTCTGTTGCCTGTTGTGTCACATTCATTACCCTGTGACCCACCACAAGCACCTCATGTGCCACCGCCACTTCAAGTGTGTAGTCGCCCCGCCCCCCACCCCCCCCCCCCCCCCCCCCAACAAGAAATTGTCTACTTCCATTGAGGCTCCTCCTGCTACTGATGATCTTCCTATTGCATTACGTAAGGGTATTCGCTCTTGTGTCACTGCACACCCTATATCTAACTTTGTTTCCTATAAAAAGGTATCGCCCTCATTTTCTTGTTTTTTATCCACGTTATATGCTACTGCTGTTCCGAAAACTGTGCAGGATACTCTATCTGATACAGCTAGGCGCAAAGCCATGATAGATGAAATGGATGCTCTTCATCATAATGGGACATGGGACCTTGTTCCCTTACCTCCCGGTTCCAAAACGGTTGGTTGTAAGTGGGTCTACACTGTCAAATATCTCCATGATGGATCTGTTGAGCGATTGAAGGCTCGCCTTGTTGCAAAGGGATACACAAAAGCCTATGGTATTGATTATGATGAGACTTTTTCCCCTGTCGCGAAGATTTCTTCTATCCGAATCCTTATTTCCATTGCCGCCAATTGTAATTGGCCATTGTTTCAATTAGATGTGAAAAATGCTTTCTTACATGGTGACTTACTTACATGAAGAGGTTTACATGGAGCAACCACCTGGATTTGTTGCTCAGGGGGAGTCTCGTTATGCTGTATGTCGTCTTAAAAAGGCCCTGTACGGATTGAAACAATCTCCAAGGGCTTGGTTTGGAAAATTCTCCGAGGCAGTACTTTCCTTTGGCCTTAACAGATGCCAGACAGATCATTCGGTATTTCACCAACATACTAAAACTGGCTTTATATTTCTTGTGGTATATGTAGATGATATTGTTATAACAGGTGATAATTCTGACGGCATTGCAAAATTGAAATTGTTCTTACAGAATCGGTTTCACACAAAGGATCTAGGCAAACTCAAATATTTCTTGGGTATTGAGGTTGCTAGATCCAAGGAAGGTATAAGTCTATCTCAAAAGAAATATGTATTGGACTTGTTAAAAGAAACAGGTATGTTAGGTACTCGTCCTGCTGATGCTCCTATGGAACCAAATATAAAATTATTACCTAAGGAGGGTGATTTATTTGACGATCATGGCAAATATCGACGTCTAGTTGGGAAATTAATTTATCTCACTATCACCCGACCTGACATTTCATATGCAGTTAGTGTTGTAAGTCAGTTCATGAGTGCTCCTAGAGTACCACATTGGAATGTTGTTCTTTAAATTATTCGATATCTCAAACAAGCTCCAGGTTTTGGATTACTATATAAATCTAATGGTCATCTCAACGTGACAGGTTTCACAAATGTTGACTGGGCTGGTTCTCCCTCAAATAGAAAATCTACAACAAGCTATTGTACATTTGTTGGTGGAAGTCTTGTTACATGGAAAAGTAAAAAGCAAACAATTGTAGCACGGTCAAGCGCTGAAGCAGAGTACAAGGCGATGGCCCATACCTCTAGTGAGTTAACGTGGATACAACATTTTTTTGAAGAACTTGGGTTAATATTCAAGATTCCTATTCCACTGTTCTGTGATAACCAAGCAACTATTCAAATCGCATCCAATCCGGTGTTTCATGAAAGAACCAAGCACATTAAAGTTGATTGTCACTTCACTCGAGAGAAACTATTGACTAGAAACATTTCTACTCCATTCGTGAAGTCTGAAAATCAATTAGCCGATATGTTTACTAAGGCTCTTGGTCATAATCGGTAAAAAACGATTTGTTCCAAGCTGGGATTATATGATATATATTCTCCAGCTTGAAGGGGAGTGTTAAAACACTTATATGTATATATGTATTTATGTTGGGGTCCTATTGTAATTAGATATAGGGTTTGTGGCCATTATGTAAATATGCCTTTCTTGTATTGTATATAACCCCCTTTATGTTTTAGGGTTAGAAATATATATATATATATAAAGTGTGAGCTGCGCCTCATACTCTGTCTAAGCAAACAAAATTTCCAACTCAATTAGTCCTATACAAACATTTTGGTTTTGTTTAGGGTTTTTTTTTTTTTTTAGTATTACAGAATCATTATTTCCCCCAGTTTTCTCAGACGCAAAATAAAGGATGAATGTATAAATTTCCTATTGTCTAAAAAATATTTTCCCCTCATCAAGTCTCCTATAGTAATGAAGATTATGGAAACAAACCAGCAGCAAATAATAGGGAAGCCTCCCCTTCCTGTTTTTCATAACAAAAAACCAAAGTCTACCCTTGCAATCTGACTTAGCAGTTTAAAGAAAAGAAAGACGCTACCACTGTCCTTGCAAAAGAAAAGACATTATTATCCATACTTAAATAACTCAAATGACAAAAAAAATTATTTAGTTAACAAAAGACAACCACACATAACTTCGTAAAAAAATTGGGATCTTAGTCGCAGACTTGCAGTATATAGTGAAGCTCTAAAGCAAACACAAATTAAAACGTAAGTGGGAATGTTGTAAATGCATTTTGATCATTGTCCCAGAAATTTTCTCATGAGATTTTATATGCCCCCTCATCATGTAATCTTTTTAGTCACACTTCAAGTTTACATCAGTTGACTTTTAGACACGTAATTCAAAAGGTTTAACTACGAAGTTAGAATGAGAAAACTCACAGTTCCATGCCAGTCTCCACGATATACCTCGCCATATGATCCTGAAACAGAACAGATGTACAATATGAAGTTAAAAAATAAAATATATCTGACAGCCACATAGAGTTGGTAAAATATATGACATGTATCAAATAGATTTGATAGAATAAAATTTGAAGGTTAGTACCAAGTCCGATACGCTCACCCAAGGCAATATCCTCCCATGGAATCTCGCACTCTGCCACATCATCCAGAGCCACGTCAGATTTTGTACTATCATTACCAGTTGATCTATCTGATATTCTCTCACCCTCCAAATTTGCCCCCAAAGCATCATGCTCCCGGTCACCACTACCTCGTGCCTCATAAACTACATCTCCATCTCCATCACTTCGTCTGCAGTAAATGGGGTTATGTAACGCAGCAGCACCACTTGACGAATGAACAGAATTCTCGAAGTGCTCATATTGCTTACTGACAGCTGCAGTTGTTGCTACCACAGCTGCAGCTGTAGCAGTGGCTGCAGCTGCTACAGGAAGTTCAAGGTTTGAATCAGTGCTCGTTTTTGCCGCAGCAACTACCATTGAAGATGCAACAACAGCTGCAGCTGCAGCTGCTGCAGCAGCAACAGGAACGTTTTTGACACATTTGATTGGATTCACTTCAGACTCAGACGAAACAGGCAGTCCCGTTTCTTCCCTTAAATCTAGTGGATGCTCCAGTTGTCCACAAGGAAATCCTTTAGAATGCACACCATGATAAGGCAAATGAGGCAAAAATCGAGCTCGAATAAGATCATCATGACCCTTAGTTTTTTGGGTGTCACACCTCTTTGTACTTTCCTCCTTATCTTCAGTTGGGGATTTGGCCTCAGCAGCCGACACGTCAAACTGCTCCGAATAAATTTCAGTAAACAAGTTTGGAGGAGCAACAACACCACTTTCAAGCAATACATCATGAAGTTTCTGAGCCAACTGGGGATTTTCTTTGGCAGCATCAATCATGTACTGTGAAACATCCTTTACTTTCATTCTGCGTACAGCTGGATAGCTAACGCCCTCAGTCCAGGAAGGAGATCTTGCATGCGTGAAAGGAGGATTTGGCCTGCTGGGAATTTCCTGAACCAGCTCACTTTTCAAATTGCATGGATTTCTGAGATCATTTGAGGACGTCCTTGATCCTTCCTCAACTTGAATTGGCCTCATTAAATTTGCAGATGGCACAATCTCACCTTTGTCATGAGATCTATTTTCTGCGTCAGTAAGATTTCTAAATCTGGATTTTTTGTCTAATGGCCCGAATTCTGGATGTTCTTCAAATGAACTTGCGACCCCACTACTAGAGGAGGCCATATGAGAGGATTCAACATCTCTAGACAAAGGACTAGTGGAAAAGAAAGACTCTTCATAATCTATATGGGAGCCTGTTGCATCAGATGGAATAAGTGTGCCAGGGTCCGCCATAAGATCAATGATATACTCCCTGAAATTCACATTATCTCTTGTTTTAGTGAACATATTAATATTTGGCAAATCCAAATTGTATATTTTTCCTACAAGATTATTCAAGAAATATCCTTACCAAGTGAACAACCATAACAACTACATGCACGTTCAATTCTGGGGCTGTGACTGGTTGGTGGTTTAAGAAACAAAGATATAAGAATAAAATAAAGAGGCTCAAGAATGATGCCACATCAATTTTGGCTAAAAAAGAAACTAGATTCATTGGTCAATAATGTCTAGTACCACTCCCTGAATGAAGGAATACAATCTGCTAACTACTACAGCCTAGAGATTTATCTTCTAAAAAATCTTAAACAAATATCCATTTTCAAAATCTACTTAATTAAGAAGGAAAAAAAAAAAGTGAAACCCCTTTCATGGGCTTATTGCACAATATCATGCAAATATTGCATAACCAGACACAGGAAATATGTTAAATTTTCTCATAACTAATTCAGCATGATATATCGTGATTTTTTGCCATAAAAGAAATTAAAAAATAAAGAAGTAGTGAATTTTGGACCATCTAGTTGACTTGCTGGCATAAAAAAGATAAATTTAAAACAACAAGAACCTTCCATCATCAAGCTTTACAAAGTTCATAGCCACATCATTAGAACCCGTGTACTGGTGTCCTTTCACTAGTCGGCAAGGGATGTTCACACTATCAGCCAAAACCTACACAACCATTCAAAACATCCAAGTAGTTGAAAGTTATTTTTCATGTCTGAAATCAATACTCCAAAACAAGAAAGATGATTCTGATATAGATGAGTAAATGAAATAATTTGGAATATATAAAACACGGTTATGGCATATGGCATGAAAAAATTGTAAAATCATGTGCAATGAAATACATCCATTAAGAAATTCAAATTCTGTGAGTGTTAGTGGTCGAAAACTGCAAACTTTAGAGAATTATTCTTTCATATCAAATTCCCATCTTTATCCACTATTCTACAGTCATCTTGTGTAAAATTGACTTTTTGTTATTTATGACATAGTTAGCTTATACTTGGCAAATTAGCTTTTAAACAATTTACATAATAAACATCACTTAGTTCTAAAATTCCGGGAATCTTAAGTGAACCATAACCTAAAATGTGGGCAAATTTACCATCACCAAACCTAACTGTACCACCATCACAATCTGTTGAAGTTTAAAAGAAAGATTTGTTTTCAGTCATATGCCTAGAACATCCATTACCAAAATACCTATACTGACTGTCGTGTGCTTTTAGTGTCATGAGGATTATAAACAGTGTTCATCTTTCTTCTTATCCAAATTTCCTTCCTAGATTGTATTATTGCTTTCTTTTGTTTTATTACTTTTTCTTCAGAAGAACAAATTTTTATTTTCAGAATTTTTGTTGTTTTTGAGAGATTTAAATGATTTCCCATTTTTTAAGGTCTTCCATTATTTTTGAGCACTTATGTTTTATATGACCTTTTTTCAGATTGATACTTTGATAGTGACATGTAGGAACATGTAACTTTATAATTTCACAATATTACTTATCAACAAAGTTAAACTTTGAGGATTTTGCAGTCTTATCCTTAAAATCTAGTTTCAATGTTCCTATTGTGTTTTTTTTTTTTTTTTTTTAAATAGAAAATAAATCCCTAGTTTATCAATTTTAACTTTTAAAATTTCGTTGAATTCCATTGACTGTGTTGCCTCTTGCCCTAGAGCTTTTATTTTACTGAATAACAAGTATTTCCCTTCCATAGGTTTTGTAATTGGATTTGTAAATTTCACAATTTTTTACATACATTTTTTTTATTATTATTATTCAAGTTCTAATGCATTTAATTTTTCCAACAATTCAGTCTTTTAAGTAAGTTGTAACTCAGCAAAAGCAAGCCTAAAATATCATAAATATCTAAATTAGATTCATTATGATGAGATTTAGAATTATCAAATCCACTCTCATAGACATCAAAAGATAGAGAATCACTCTTGAACAAATGTTTCTCAATTTCAGTCATTGTAACAAAATCTAGGGGTATTGTGCACCAGATTATCAAAAAAAAAAAAAAAAATCATTAATTAATTAAAAAATAAATAAATAATATCATAATAAACAAAACCAACCAAAATCCATATTTTGCCAAAGATCAACTCCTTATGTTAAGTAACATGCTCCGATACCAATTGAGGGAACGGACCGGCACTCTAGGCTCTAATATGCCAAAGTACGGTTGGTTCAATTCAACCCTAGTAGGAGGGTAAAGAGGTCTTATAGATACTCAATTGTCAATATCTAACTTTTCAAATTTTAGTTCAATTCAACTGTCTTATTTTCAGTTTTATTTAGTAATTCACACATCTCTAACACAAGCATTTAAGAACATAGAGCAGTAAAAATAAAGTTGAGAGACACGATTTTTTTTTGTGGAAACCCTAGAAAGAGAAAAACCACCAGACCCTCATCCAGGCACAAACACCTCCTCAAACTCAGATGCTGCTAGTCAACAAACTTGACAACCCAAAAATTTGCTCTCCATGGTTGTTTCAGTTCCTTGTTCTTCACGAAAAATACGCAGTTAATGGTTGTTTGATAAATCTCTGATTTTGCTCCTCACTTTGTAAAACTCAATCACATAAAGTATTGTATATTATGAAAACCTTATATTGATTCTCAAAGCTTTCTCTCTCTAAAAGCTACAAATTCTCCTAATAATGTGTAATCAATGCCCCATACTGACTATATAAGTTCATATTTATAGCTAATACAGAAATTCTATATAAAATAAAATAAAAAAGGTTAAACCAATTAAACTTTGATTTTCACAAGTTTTAAAACAGTTCAGGTTCAATCAAATGCTCTAACCAAAGTTCGAGCAATCGAACACCCTACAGGAGCCTTCAACGATGTGCTCGACAAGTTCGATCGAATCGACCTATCAATCAAAACTCACTGGCATTGTTTCAAGCTATCAAACTATCACATGAAACTCACCATTTTCAAGTGCTCTAAGCAAAGTTCGAGCAATTGAACTCCCTTCAGTTCCCTTCGAACGGTGTGCTTGACAAGTTCGATCCAATCAACTTATCAATCGAAGCTCACTGGAATTGTTTCAAGCTATCAAACTATCACTTGAAGTTCACCATTATCCAACATTTTTCCTTCATAAAAAATTCAATTCAATCATCACATATTTGATCAATGATGAACTTTAACTTTGAAAAACATGTTTGGAAAATTGATTTTGAGCTTTTCAAAGAAGAAATCTAGGCCATGGAAAGTCCAACTACCTAATGAATTATTCCAACTTAGATTCCTATATCCCTGCTAAAACCATATCCTACTTTAACCTAATTATTCAAACATTGGCCTATTCTTCATTATTCTCTATCTTTATCATATTCGACATCTTCTTTGGTTGTCAAACTGCCTCAAGATATTTTGTTCAATTTTATAACCCCTGTTTTGGATAGGAAATTGCCAACACATACTCAATAACCTCACATAAGGAACTATAAATATGAAAATAACTGCACGGCACTTGGAAGTTTCCAAAAGATGAGGTAGACAAAGGCACAAGAATCACTAGTTCAATGGAAAACAAGTGGGGATGTCCTAAGAAACTGAAAAGGAGTTAGATTACAAAGAAAAAAATGGCTTAGATTATGAAACTTTCTAATGGATGGGTAAAAGATTTTAGATTCTTCCCTATGAAGTACCTGAAGCTAATATCCTAATATGGAAACAAGGACAACTAGAATGAGAAAACGTTGGTTTCCTCTCATGGAGGAGACTCTTGAAAGTGTGAGGTTTCAGGGAGGAAATGTCATTATGCAACTGGCTTACTTTACATCCAGTGTTGTTATGCAAGGGCACTCATAATCAACCATACAACCAATTAAAATTTACAAGACAAACACTTAATCCACCAAGTGATTGGAAAACATGAATATGACACAATTATATAGACAATTTAAACAAGAACTTCACACATCATGATAGAAAGAAATAAAAAATGCCACATGACGAAATATTGAAGTAACTGAATATTTTAAGCCACTTAATAGGAATTTCAAATAATGTATTATTGGATTTTTATTTATTTAATTATTTTCTATAAACGTTAAAGTCACATTTGCCACATACTTACTCAAATTATTTAAAATAATGCCCAAAAGGCACAGTTAGTACCTTGAACAATAATGCACGATGACGGGGCAATCCAATTGTCAAAGAACCAAGAGGCAAAACCATGCTTCCACGAGTTGTCTTCAAACTATAACTAAGATCTGTCCATTCTTTCAGCATGCTGTATGGATCCCCAACTGGTCCCCCCATGTTGTCAGAAACTAAAGCAGCAAGCTTCTGCACTAAATCACTACCTACAAAATATAGAGATTCTGACCTTGACTTGACAGCCATCCGAAGGGCCTCCTGTTCGAGTTTTAACAGGTTTGCATCAGAAGCTCTATTTACAAGAATTGCTTCCCAACTAATATTGTTCGATACAGGTGTTCCTTGCAGATCAACAAGTGAAGGCATCTTTGAAGAAGTCGATTCCATCATGATGCCATATAGGTCATAAAAACCATCCAAGATCTTGTCATCATAGCTAAGAGCATTGTAATTCTGTGAAGCATGTATAAATCTACGATATGAGAAAGGTTAGAAAGGAATAATCATGTGACAAAGTAATATTGAGATAAAGAAAAAAGAAAAAGGCAAGTAATGGAATGTCTCAAAATTGTCTGGAGTTATGATTTTTACCATTAGCAAAGCTGATATATAATTACAAATTAACTTTATTTAGCTAACTGTAGCCTGGGAAGACAAGCCCCAAAGAGAAAACAGAGAGAGAGAGAGCTTCAGAAGGGAGAGGAGAGAAAGAGGGAGGGAGGGAGAAGTAAGATAAAAACCATGACCATGACTCAAGCATCAAGCAATTAATATTATTTTATGGAGTATAATTACTTAGGTATGATCTCTTGCTACATTGAGAATCAGCATAGAGAAGAAATAGCAGTTAAAATTTACAGAAAGCACGAGGTAATTACAACTAAGCATATATGCAAAAAATTACTTATCACTCAACACTAACAAGGCATGCCCCATCAGTAATAACATCAAATCAGATCAGTTTCAGTTTCAGTCACTACCTAAGCAAGAGAAACAATAGAAAGAAATCATTAGATATCTAGACAGCAAAAATCATTTCCAGCTTCACAACTGTAGTTTAACGTAGAAGAGCCCTAAATTGTCATTATCATAGGCTTCTGTTACTCTATGTTGTAGCAGTTCCTCACTTCTTCTCAGTGATAGTACAACGCATTCCCATCTATATCTAGAGTTTCTACATAGTGAAGGTTGATAATTCAAGGCCCCTAAATCCAGTTTGCTGGTAGAAAGAAGCGATGAATGCAACATGATGGTAAGTCCAAATATTATTATACTGTCAATTATGGTGCTAAAGTTTACAGTCAGATGCATCTGTCTTTGATTATGTGTAAAAAATAATGACGCCCTAAAAGAGATTCAAAGAATAAACACAAGAACAACTCGAGCTTTACACAATTGCAAGAGACCCACACATGTGAAGACCATCCAATTCACGGGCCTTGGAGTTATCGTTGACCTTTGAAGGTTTAAGCGCACATATAAATAAATAAATAAATTTATGGTGAAATTTATACATTATAATACACAGCCAGAAATAAAGGGAATGAATTTGATCCTTCCATATATATATTAATGAGCAACCATATCATTTGTGTAATATAACAGTGAAGTTGACTTTAATACCATGATAGTTTATTAAAATTTATAATGAGGGCCGCTCACACAACACAAGGTATGATAACACCTATTAAAACTCAGGCATATAGTAGAGAGACCAGTTTTCAATATTGGATCATGATTTAGAGCACTAAAACCAATGGTACCAAGTCAACAAATTGAAATCAATGAGACAGACAGATGAGAAACAAACCTACCCAGTATCGATATGCAACTACTTCCGCCGGAGTATTCTCAGGAGGACAGGAGCCCAAACTGATCTGCTTAACTGCTTCAATCTGAACTGCTTCAGGGTCTTCCCTTGCACTCAACTCCAAAGCCAATTGTATTTGATATTCCTCCTCTATTTCGGGATCCCTTGAGTTGCTAGACCCCGAATCACGCCTGGCTGCATCCAAGGCTGCATCCAGAGCACTACTGCTCACAGAATCCTGCTGTTCCAGTCTCTCTTCCCCCACCACATTTGTAGATGATGGAAGAATAGGACTATGTCTATTCGTAACCGAATTCAACCATCCTGAGAGTGCCGAAAAGGGTTTATGCTCGGAATTGTGATGAGACCTAGAATGAGAAACTCTGTCAGGGGATGCACCATCACTCAACCTATTGCCCTTTGATGAAGAAGGAGACCCTTCTGAGTCTTCAGATTGATTGGACATGATATGAAGTTTCTTTAGAAGATTCTTCATATTACTTTCACTAATCTATAGCATTCACTGCTAAAGAAGAAAAAATCTGGCCATAAACCTCTCCATTGTCTTGGCCCAAGCATGAAAATCTGAATCACAAAATCACTACAACAACAACAACTGCAGAGTTCAAGCAAACCCCAAAAACCCTTTTGGTCAACAGCCCTTCCACCCCACAGAGAACTCCAAAGAAACTCATCAAATCCAAGAATCACAAATCAAAACAACCATTACCCAGATGCCCAAATCAAAAGAAGACACCCTTCTTATTACAGCAGAGCAAAGATCCAATCTTGAATGTAATACAAGAACAATATTCAAAGAAAGAACATATATATGTGTGTGTGTGTATACAACTACATCAACAAAAAGATAACCTGTTTATTACCTCGTTGAATAAACAGATTGATAGAACAACAAATCAGTACACATGCAATGAAGTGGATGTGTGGGATTGCGTGAAGGGAGAGAAGATAGATTGATCGTTGTATCAAGATAGGGAATAATAATGAACATTTAATTAATAAAGAAAGGAGGGTAATTGGGAAGTTTGGAAGGGAAAAAAAAAAAAAGTTGAAGGCAGAGACAGCAAAGACGAACACAAGTGGGAGTAGTACCTCAACAAAAATGACCCACTTGAGTTTTGAGGCACAAGGATTTCATGGTCCCAGAAAAAGCTTAAAATAGTGTGAAACAAAACCAACTTGCTCTCTCTCTCTCTTTCTCTCTCTCTCTAGCTGGCTTCTTCCCTGCCCCACTCTCTCTTTCTCTCTCTAGACTGTGATTGAAGTTCCAAGCAGCAGAGCGTGGGCAGGACTGCAGGAGTTGGAAATTTGTGGTGGACTGTACATAAATGGAATATCAAATTAACAACTTGGGATATTACTATTTCCAGCTCAACTTTTGCTATTTTCAAGTGAACATGGTTTTGTCGTATCTACAAAAAGACGATATTACCACTAAAAGACAAAATTGATTTGATGGAAAGTAGTAAGACTTCCACTTCAACCGGAGACATTCAACTATAATTGGCTTTTGACGGTTTTTTTAATGTGTGAAAATTACGGATATGATCGAAATTTGATATTCACACAATCCTCTTTTGCTTTTCTACAAGTTAATAATAAGTGCTTGCTATCTTTTGATTAAAACTATGGAGGAAACTGACAACCTTTTTTTTCTTTGATAACAAATCAACATAAAGAAGAAAAAAGGGTTTGAAAAATAAATGATGATTTCTATTTCCTTTTTCTTTTTTATAAGTGCAGCAAACACTTCCGTAGTAATCAAATCAAACGTTTACAATATTATTTCTAATTTTACTCAGACACTCAACCTCTCTCCTAATACAGCTTACACTAATTAAAGTAGTAGATTGGTTATTAGTTAATTACTACCCTTATTATTTGCATAGATAGTGTATCTTTGTACATCGATTTGCAATTTAGTGTTTGTTAATTCAACATTTTTTAGACTTGCCTCACACAATGGAATTTCTTTTGAAAAGCATGGATCATAAGATGTATATTAAAAAACGGCTTCAGTTGAAGCAACATATATGCATATGTGAATCAAAATTATTTTCAGTATGCTATATATATATATATATATATATAATTATTATTATTATTTTTTTTTTTTTTTTTTTTTTTTTGTGGTGCATACTTTACTATCATTAGGTTAAAGTTTGATTAAAGCATTGAACTCAATTTTATCCAATTAGCATATATTTATTTGAATCTCATCACAATTTTAAGTGGTAAAATTTAAAATTTAAAAATAAAGTGAATACTCTTAAAATATTTCATAATTTACCACCGATTACATGCAAGATTTCATCCTACATGCATCAAATAATTATAAAAAAATTAAATAAAAAATTTAAGACCATTCTTGATTTTAGAATGTGAGATGAGAGTATTTCCCGTGTCTGATTACCGCCTTAAAAATTGGAAACACTTTGGTAAAAGCAAAATGGATATACTTAATTTAGAAAGAGATGCTTGGGGGGTGGGTAGCAAAACGTGTGCGGCTGAATATTTGGTGATAGGTGCCTTATGGTGGAAGTAGTATGCCGTGCAGCTGGATACACCCAAATCTCATAAATAAATGATAGTGACTTGCCCATACACTTTTCAAGGGTTTTTAGTTCTTGTGGTTCACTAAACATGTTTTACTTTCCACATACCTTGTAATAATCCTTCTTCAACCATGAAAATTCCATTAATTAGTTTTTGAGGTTATTGATGATATGTATTCTTTTTATCCGAAAAGGGTGGATTGGGAAAAAAGCAACTCACAAGATTAGTACAACACAAATTGATTTCTTCTTTTGTCCTATTACGACTTGCGAGTGAGTGTCTCTAAGGACCTTTTAGATGCCCTGAGTAAAAGGGATGATTGGGAACTTTCCTACCAACTGGCTATTTCAATTTTGTTGTGGCTAGCTGTTATATACATATATTTTGTCTTGGATTGATTTCATGGTGTTTGTGAATGTGATGTTTCCAAACTGAATTCATCCCAAATTAAAGGGCCTTTTTTTTATTATTTTCCTTTGGTATTTTGAGAGAGGGGAGGGGAATTCTTAAGGGAAGAAATTCTCGAATAAGAAAAAAGATATCTTAAAGTTGACTACACTAATGAAGTCTTTCAAGGGGAGATATGCAATGAATGATTTAGTTGGTTTAAATAGAGCTACTTGGAGGTTCCTAATGAAATGAAGCTAGCAAGGAAGGGAGCCACTGCGAAGAAGTTATGGGAGTTGCGAATGATTAATATATCCTTTTTTCATGATCATAGATCACAGAGGGTCCCTCTACCATATCCGTATAAGTCACGGTGGAGGCATAATATATAGAGTAAATTACATTGGCTTCCTTTTTGTTTGTCAAATTACATTAACATATCATGATGAACTTGTTGATTTGCAATTACATTTGTCCATATATATATTGTATTTTAATGCAATAAACATGTTTTTCAAGGGTAAAATTGAAATTTGAAAGTTACAAAATTGTTTATATTAGCATTTTTGTTAGAGGAATGGGGGCAAGAATGATATTTTTTAGTAATTTAAAAGGGCAATAGTAATATTTTAGAGGTATATAACTAAAAAAGAACAATTTAGTAAGGCATATTAGTAATAAATAAAAAAAATCAGTGGGGCAATTGCCCCGTGAACTGTACATAGGTCCATCCTTGAATGGGAGGTATGTGTTAGTTTTTTTGCAAATTATTATTACTATTATTCTTTTAAGATTAAGATTTATGTAGAAAAGGTTAGGTTGTTCTCTTTTCAGTTCAAATTCTCACTTAAATAAAATTGGCATTGTGCACATTAAAAGTCTACTTCAGATAACATCATTTGTTCTCAAGGTGATATAGATGGAGATGGGATTAGAGGAGATATTGAAAGGGAGAAGCCTCCCCCATCATATAACTTTCAAAGGAGGGGGAAGAAAAACGAAGAATAGAGTATGACTAGAAATGTATTATTCATTCTCTTGAAAATTGATTTGACCTATATATGCACACACAAAAAAAAAAAAAATAAATAAATAAAGGAAAGGAAAGGAAGATTTATTTTGCTTGTCCCTCATGGAATGTGTGGTTCCAAAAGATACCCTACAAGTACTTTTGCAGTGAGAATTATACAATATGTAATATATTGTCCCTTATTTGCTTTGGTTATATATACACACACATGCACAAAGTATACAAAGAAAATTCAAACAAGGAAGCCATTCAACCCTTTTGTCCTTTAAACTATATTGGAAATTTCTTCCCTTTGAATACTATCAAATGGAATATTTTCTTTTGACCTGATTGGCTGATACTTACCATGACACCATGTGACAAGCCATATGAGCAAAAAAATTGACAGGGAATGATATCATTTATAGATACTTGCAAACAAATATTGTCATCTGTTTGAAGAAATTTTTTTTGGGATACTTTAAGCATTTGACAATTTACATTTATAATTTTTTACTGGCTTATCAACACCTGTAATTTAATGGCATCTCCTCTCTTTTTAAAATGAAAAGGAGAGAGTTCAAGTCTCTCAAAAATGGTAATTAAAAAAAAATCTAAAAATATTGTGAAAGTTATTTGTCTATTAACACTTGTGAGTTGTGATTTAGTAGTATCTTTTCTTATTTCAAAATGAAAAGTAAAGGGTTTAAGTCTCCCAAAGACCGTAAAAAAAAAATTAAAAATCTCTCAAAAAAATTGTGAAAGTTATTTGTCAGAACACTGATAAAAAAATAAAAATTGAAACTTATTTTTTGTATTTTAATTGATTATGAAAGTTGGGGATGTTATCATTCCCTCATGTGTGTGTGGGGTATTGAGGGTGGTTTGATTGATTTCTTCAGGAAAGTTTTGTTTTGTTTTTGTTTTTTTTCATTTTGAGTCGGAACCGTTAGTGTGTATTTAAAATTGTTTCTATTGGAATTCCATATTTCTGTTGCAGTAAAAGAGACTTGAATCCTCAAATTTTCATATATTCGAGAGAGAGAATATCACTTAAAATAGAGAATATTTTATATTATGCAGGAGTGAAGTTGAAAAACTAACAAAATTTTCAAAACAAGATATGTAATTAGGTCAACTTTCCATTGAACTGAGGGGTCCTGCCAATGGAGCTGCTCAACTATATTTCTGCCCTGATCCTCTGTCAGATTGCATATAAAATATTTATTTTCCAAATTTGGGTATGTATTTTTTAAAAGATTGGGATTAAATTTTATTCAAATAAAATTTAACAATGCCAGATTCACACCTGGCCTTAATTTGACCAGCCCTTGGATTTACTTTTTATATTTTTTTTATGTCAAGAATGTTAGGAGTTAATAATTAAAGCAAGAAGTAAAATATAATACTGAGAAACAATCTAGTCACTCAGATAACACACAGTTGAACACTGAGAAACAATCTAGTCACTCAGATAACACACAGTTGAACACGGCACTTGAACTAAAGGACTCCTAGACCTTGCTTCTAGAAATTTTGAATCAAATACTCCACTTGGTAGAAATTTTGAATCAAATACTCCACTTGGTATGATGTCATGCAAAGGCAATATTCCGTCTTTTGTGCAGTAAAAATTAAAAACTCATGGAAGAGATAGGACATCAAATTTAACTAGAAAGACATCATTGGGTCTATTTTCAATTTTTTCTTTGCAACATCTAGGAAGACTAGTGTTTAATTAAGACTAGATTAAACTATTTATTGGACCATTTAAATGGTAGCTGAAAATTTGATATACGTACAAAATTTTACTGGAACAGTTCTTTCTTTTGAAATTCATTATGTTTGAAGCAACAATGTTGTGCCAAAACTCATGGTCATTCAAATTGATAGATAAAAATAGTGTATAATTACTTTACATGACAGAACTTCAAATGCATTTGTGTGTGTTTATGCATCGTTTTATATATATATATATATAGACACACACACATATATAATATGATGTGGAACACCCTACACACTTTTATGTCCATATCTAATGGCGTATTCCACCCTCGTGAAAGCTGCCTGTGGAAAAAATCACCAATTAGCAAGAAGATTAATTGAGTTGCTAGCTATAAACCATTATTTAAATAGTAAGGATTGACTAGTTCCTAAATACTATATATAGTTATACAGTAGTATGAAAGACTGAAAGTTATATCCCACCCTCTCCTTAAAAATCATAATAGAAGTAAAGGAATATATTGCTTCCCTCTGTGTGTGTGTGTGTAAAAAAAATAGTATATGTCTATTGAATCATTATTTAATAAACTGTTAATTGTTTGT